TTTATTTTCCTTTCCTCTCCCTTCCCACCCCATAAAAAGCATTTACGAATTTTATCAATAGAATGGATTATACCTTTTGGGATTATGAAAACTGACATCAAGAACACAGGTAGACTTGATAGCACTGAATTGATGAGCGTGATGCGACCTCCCATAGATAGATGTCTACCCTTCCAACTAGCCAGCTTCCTTTTAACAGATTCTACCAGTGGCTGCCACATAGCTACTCTTCTATGACTCCCACCAATTGGAATTCTCAAATATTTAAATGGGAACTCTCTTTCTTTACAACACAGTCGATAGGCCATTTTAGATCTCCAGTTTTATTCTACTCCCACTCCCATCAGTTGACTCTTTTTGAAATTTATTTTCAACCCCGAAGCCAATTCGAAGGTTCTCATAATGCACTTGATCACCTAGATATTCTCTTTTGATGCCTCCCTAAACAATACGGTATCATCCGCAAATTGTAAGTGTGTTACCATAATATCTCCACTGCCAATTGGCACACCTTTATACCTTTCCTTCTCCACTGCCGATGACACTAGACCATTCAATCCCTCTGCAACAATCAAGAATAAGAATGGGGATAGCAGGTCACCTTGATGGATGCCTCTATTAACTAAGAATTGTTTCGTCGGACTGCCATTTATGAGAACCAAAACAGAGCTTGATTTTAGGCATTCTTGTATCCATTTTCTCCAGGTTGAACTAAACCCCATCCTCATCATCATATAGTCTATAAACTCCCAACAGACTCTGTCATATGCTTTCTCAAAATCTACCTTAAATAGAGAACACTTTTTCTTCTTCCTTTTGGCTTCGTCAATAACTTCATTTGCAATCACTACTCCATCCACTAATTGTCTTCCCTTGATGAAAGCCATCTGTTGCTCCTCGATTATCTTGGATAACACCTTTCACAATCGGTTTGCTAGTAATTTTGAGATGATTTTGTACATAACTCCTATTAGTGAGATGGGTCTCTATTCTTCAATTCCTTGGGGGCTTTCAGTCTTTGGGATTAACACGATGAAAGAAGCATTTGACCCTTTGACAAGCCTGCCGTGTTCTAGGAATTCTTGTACAAAGCCAACCACATATGGTTTTATGACCTCCCACATCATCTTTATAAATTTGAAGTTGAATCCATCTGGACCTGGAGCTTTGGATGAGTCACAATTCCATATTGCTTCCTTAATTTCCTGTTCCGATAATGCTGCCGTGAGGAGCTCATTATCTTCCTTTGTTATTTGCTTGAAGCTTATCCCATCTAGCTTAGGTCTTTTCCATTTTTCTTCTGCAAACATTTGTTGGAAGTACTTGGCAACCCCTTCCTTTATTTCTTCCACTTCTATATGCTGTTTCCCATTGATCCGAATACTACTGATCTCATTTCTTCTCCATCTTCCTTTCACACATTTATGGAAGAATTTTGTATTCGCGTCCCCTTCTTTAACCATAGCTTCCTTGATTTTTGGTGCCACATCCTCTCCTTAATTCTCAAATTCTTCCACAGATCAATAAAGCTGTTTCTCCTTTTCTCTACATCAGTAGCCGACAACCGATTATGTTCTCGTTTCTCATCTATTGTAGCAATAACAGTTTCGGCTTCCTTTATCTTGTTGTCCATCTCTGTGTTCATTTGATAACTCCACTCTTTAAGCACTTGTTTTGTTCTTTTCAGTTTCTCCTTGAGCTTAAATCCGTTCCATCCACTCACTTCATTGTTGATCCATGCATTTGTGATCACCTCCTTGCATCCTGGTTGTTCAAGCCAAGCATCATAATATTTGAATGGTTTTGGGCCCCAGTCAACACATTCATTCTTTAGCAAAACAGGACAGTGGTCTGAAATTGACCTCCTCCACCCCCACTGTTTCACATCACTCCATTTTGTGGTCCATTCTTTGGATAATAAAAATCTGTCAATCCTGCTCATGTATTGCCCATTAGAATTATACCAGGTGTATTTTCTCCCCACCAACAGCAAATCAATCAATCTCGTGTTATGGATAAAAGCATCAAATTCCCTCATTTCATTAGTAGTTACAGTACACCCTACTCGTTCCTCAACACTTCTCACAGTATTATAATCCCCTGCTAAACACCAGTTCCCCCTTCTGCTATTTATTAAGCCTTGCAACTCCTCCCATAAGGCTCTCTTGCTTGCGAGTTGGCAAGGTGAGTATACATTTAAAATGTATACGGGTGTTTTTTCTGCTCCCCACAACCCAAACACCCCAATAAAATTATCTCCCTCTATAACCTCTTCCTTCTTGAGCACTTTGGAATTCCAGACACAAAGCAAGCCTCCTGAATTGCCATTAGATGGCTTTTTTTTTTTTTTTTTGATAAATCCATTAGATGGCTTTGTAACCCACTCCATATCATCTGTCCCCCATAAGCTTCTGCAAATTTTTCCATCTACTGCTTCCATCTTAGTCTCTTGAATTGCTAGAAATTGAATTCTTTCTTTTGTAACTAACTCCCTAATCTGCCTTTTTTTTCCCATCCCCTCCAAGACCTCTAATATTAAATGACAGTAGTATCATTGAGATCTTTACATACCTTCTTGTGGGCTTCATCATCTCGATTCACCATGGTTAAGCTTGCTTGTCTGTCTCTAACCTCCATTTCCTCAATTCTTTGGATCACCTCATTATCGTCCTCTGCCACTGCTCCGAGTTGTGTCGCCAGATCCCAAATCTCCTTGGCCAATTTGTTTTGCCACTGCTTCTTCAGAGATCTGTTACAATTCTGTATACCACTATCTCCAACTGAATCTCCGACAACTTGTCCATTTGGGTTTGGTAGGAATGTTGGAATTGGTCTTCCTTCCATTTGTTGCGTGCTTTGTTTCCCTCTTTCTCTTTTTCTTTTTGCTCTTACATCCCTTACATTGGTTTCTAAATACACCAAGCTACATTGCCTCACCCTCATTTTCCTTTTTGAACTCATCTCCTCTAATTGTTTGCCAATCCAGTCTTCTATGTGACCTCTTTCCATTTCGTGTGCCCCTTCCATAACACATCTTCATCGTCGCTGTTGCTTTCATCTCCAGGATTTTCGCTTCTAAATGAGCCCCTTTCCTTGTTTGTATTTTAGAGCACCTTTGCCATTTTAGCTTGGGCCAGACACATGTTTGTGGATTCCTCTCCCTTTGGGCTTTCTTTTTGTGGGACGGGCTTCTCCTTCGGCTATTTATTGGGCTTCATTTTATGGTCCCTTTTTTCCCCAACTTCTTTTATACTTTCTGTCAGAGACTCCTAGGTCCCCTGTCTTTTTGTCATCCCGCCTGCCCTTGTACTTCCAGCAGTAGCATTTAAAATTTGAATTTCTTCCAAGCTATCATCCCCTGTTTATGCTGGTTCCCGTTCCTCCTTACTGGCTAGTTCCGAAGATCTTCTCACTCCCTCTTTCATACATGGCACCACATCATCATCTTCTTTAGTTGAGTACCCAACCTGTTCTTCTTCATTCTTCTCGTCTATTTCTACATCTTGCATCGTCGAGTCACTTCCAGTAGACCATGTTTCATGATCCTCTGTCTCACTATTAAAAGAGGGTATAAAATCTTGTTTCAGAGAAAAGAAGCTGTTTGTGAATTCTTCCTCTATAAATTTCACACTGTACATGCTTCCATTAATCTTGATTTGCCTTGTGACTGAGATTGTCTCCATAATTGGTGTAGAGATAAAAAATCTAGCAATGTCAAACCTTTTCTTTTTGCTTGTACTATCATCCAAGCAAATGAATTTTCCCCATGAGCAGCCCATGGTTGAAAAGAAATCAGTTTCTTAGGCGTTCAATGGTACCCCTTGACACCTTATCCATACGAATCTCTCATTTGCAACCATTTTTGGTGTCCATGGGTGCACCTCTACAAACCATTGCCTTAGCCAATTTGATGCCATTTCAACCAAGTCCTTCAGCTCTTCTTTATCTTCACATGATAGCAAAACCAATTTGCCTCCCATTGCTCGAATTTGACAAGAAAAGTACCCTTCCATGTAAAACTTTTCTTGTAAATTTTGCACCATCTCCATGGAGTGTACTGTTCCGAAATAGCAACCATCTAACCAAGCATGCTCTTCAGATTTGCTGTTATACTCCATGCCGGCCCATTTTTCTCCCATTCCTTTCTCCTTCTAGATTTTCCTGGTTACCGATTTCCGGTACCCGAGTCCGCCTCTACCACTGTAACTCCCTTATTTGTCTTGCTCTGCATGCTTTTTATCTTCAGTAGCAATCCTTCGAAAATTAATCTGGCCATCTTTGCCCTGTGTTCTCTTCTCCTCCTTCCCACTAATTTCTTGCATACCCTTCACTACCTCCACATAACTTCTGTTATGGGCCACTGTCACCATTTCTCTGTTGTTTCTTTTCCGCCTCGCTTCCTGTTTCTCATCATCATATTGCGACCTATTGACCCAAAGTTTCTGCCCCCCCACCCAAATCTAGTCCAACTGTCTTTCTAATTCCTTCTCATCTTTCACTTCTAAAAATCTCACAAAGCCAAATTTACTCCCGTTCTTGCTTTTTCTGCTTGGGCTGTTGTCATAAACTCGTCCATATTTCAAGAATGTCCTCCACATATCTTCATAGCTCCACTCGTCTGGACAGTTAGTGAAGAAGTATGATGTGGCTTGCTTGTACAAACCCCAGTTGTATGTCCCATCTTCCTTCCGTTTCCGAACCTGATACTGATTACTCTACCCTCTCCCCATGAATGCTGGCTCCCCCCTCCGTTGTTGACTTCTTCCATGAGATTCTGCATGCTCTCGATTCAGTGCCGTCCGCCTTGCCCATGAACTCTGTCCATCTCTATCCCTTCTCGTTCTCTCTCTACCTCTCTCTCTCATTCTATCGCTCAGCTTAGTAAAATAGTTATGGATCAAAGAATCTCGCCATCTCAGCCATCTCTTCTCGCAATATTCGTTGACATCTTTGTGAAGTCGTGCATAAAAGAGCTCTTGAGTAAAAGTGTTATCACGGGCTCTGTTCAAGAAATTAGTCGTTTCCTCAAGGTTGAACCTGTTATCAAGAATTCCTTCTCTGTTCATTAAATGCATATCATCTGAGGTGTCGACTAGGCAATCTAAGAGTATGGCGTAACTTGTCACCCTAGGCATGCAAAGAAGGCTAAATTGCTCAAAGATGATGAGGTTCCTGAAGATGGTTTCTGTCAATGGAGTAATCAACAAAGGTGTGATTTCGAGGACACCCTTGTTAAATTTTACATTCAAGATGTTTCTTGACTCGGCTTTTTGAAATTTGACTCCCACCTCTTTAAGTCTGGTGACAGATGGAATAAGGGTCCCATAATCCAACAACTCAAAGTCTATTCCTCCCCTTTCTGATGAGACACCCCAGAAACGCCACAGAAAATCAACCAGGTGTATAATTCTTGAATTGTACCTTGATAGAGGCTTTTCCAGTTCTTGAGGAGGTTCATAATAAGAAACAATATTGTTAAGATGTGAACACAATTATATTTAGAATTATTGTAAATATTTTATATTTTATAATATTCTCTTTGTATACTTTATACCTTAGAATATTCTCTTTGTAAACACTTATAGGTCATTGTACATACAGTATGATTTAAGAAAGTAATAAACCTTTCTTCAAATTATTCTTCTTTTCTGTTTTCTAACATGGTATTAGAGTTATAAGCTCCTAGTTCTTTTCTCTTATCATCGCTGTTGGGTTTTTTGGAGTTTGATTTTCAATTACATTCCAGATATGAAACTTTGTCGTTAGGATCTCTTCTTCTACAGATTGGATTGTTTACCCTTGATTCTTGGGCCCTTTCTTAGGTATTTTGTTGGTTTGTTATTTCGATCTTGAAATCTATTTCTTCATATTTTTAGAGTTTTTCAGTATTGTGAGTTTACTGATTCTATGGTGAGTTTTGAAAGGATTGTAACACATTCTGCTACTGCTATGGTTGCTAAAGAAGTGATAGAACAACCTAATGTCAACCTTGAATCCCGAAAATAGGTGATATTAAATCTTTTTAATGCTCCTATTGCTTTATCTATTGCTTTGGGTACCAAACCTTGGTATTTCAATTCTAGTTGTTGTAACCACATGTCTTCCATTACTGCTCATTTCTCTTCAATGTCACCTAATAATTCATTTCCTGATATTTATTTTGCTGATGGTTCCCCTATGAATGTTAGTCATATTGGTAATGTTTCTACAAAATCATTGACTTTACCAAATGCCCTTTTAGTTCCAAAACTTAGTTATAATCTTCTATCTGTCGATCAATTATGTGATCTTATTCTTGGTCTTGAAGTAATATTTTCTGCTCATGGTTGTCGTGTGCAAGACCCACGGACAAGACAACTTCTTGGAACTAGTCGCAAGGTGGGGCATTTGTTTAAGATCAACTATCTACATATTCCTGATAATAAAATGGATACACCATCATTTCCAAATGATTGATTCATTCAAGCCTTGCTTTGTGCTGTTGAATTAGAGTCTTTACAAATTCCATATCAACAAATCTTCCAAGCATGTGCTGCTACTAACATTTTCCCTCTCCATTTGTGGTACTCACGACTCGGACATACCTCAGTCGGTAAACTTCGTCCACTTATCTCTCGTGGTTTATTAGGATTAGTTCCGAATGAATCTGTGCATTGTGTGTCATGTCAATCTGCAAAACAACCAACTTTATCTTTTTCGAGTAGTCATTCTCATTCTATTACTCCTTTTGATCTCGTGCATTCTGATGTTTGTGGTCCATCTCCTACACCCACCATGGGGGGTTCCAGGTACTTCGTGTTATTTATTGATAATCATACTCGTTTTACATGGATATACCTTATGAAAAGTCACTCTGAATTATCACAAATTTATATTGATTTTGCTACCATGGTCAAAACTCAGTTTTCTAAATTTATCAAAGTTTTGAGAATTGACAACGCTACTGAATATCTTGGTACTAAACTTCAACCATTTTTGAAAGAACAGAGTACACTGTCACAACAATCTTGTCCTTATACTTCTCAACAAAATGGGCGAGCCGAACGCAAACACAAACACATCCTTGATTCTGTTTGTGCTCTACTCATTTCATCTTCTTGTCCAGGGCAATTTTGGGGTGAAGCTGCTCTTACAGCTGTTTATCTTATTAATCGCATTCCATCATCAGTCCTTAATAACCAGTCTCCATACAAGCATCTACATTGTATTCTTCCTACTTATAATTTTCTTAAGGTTTTTGGTTGTGCATGTTTTGTTCTTCTTCCACCTCATGAACATAACAAGTTAGAACCTAGAGCTCGATTATGCTGTTTTTTGGGTTATGGGATTACACAAAAAGGATATCGTTGTTGGGATCCTGTGTCACAAAAACTCTGAGTTTCACGTCATGTTGTCTTTTGGGAACACACTATGCTCTCATCATTGTCAAACTTCAAAGTGTCATCCTCTCATCAACCTCCATTTTTCACTAATCCTTCTATTGAGCTATTTCCTAGTGATTCTAATGCAAGTACATCTGATGAGCTCTACAATGCCTCACCACATGCTCCAACTAGTTCTGTAGAAGATGATTTGCCTGTTGGTAATGTATTAGATAATTTTGAGCCTTCTTCTACTTTTTCGTCTGTATCACTTGTTGATTCTACAAATGAACTTGTTGTCCCATCCTCGAGTCATCCTACTTGGGTAAGAAACCCTCCCAACTACCAATGTTTTCAAACCCGAACCCGAGGTCAAACCGTTTTGACCTTCAGTTCGTGGTTTGAACGGTTCAACCGGTTTAACCGGTAAAACCGTCGGGTTAATCAAATACTATAAATATATGATTTTGCAAAAGATATCACACGGTGTAGGTGGGTTGCACTGGTAGATGGCCGATCTTCTATAAGAGAGATTTGGAGTTCAAAGCCCCCCCCATTGTTGTCAAAATCTAGATTTAAATTTTAAAATCTTACGATTTTACGATTTCAGCAAGACATTTCGTGTAAAATCTATACTAAAATCTGAAATTCATAAAATCTGGGGATTTCACAGTAAAATCCGTGAAATCAGGTAAAATCTCGATTTTACCTTCTGTTTAGCAGCTGGATTTTTTGCCTATTTCCTTTTGGGTTTCTCATCTTAGGTTAGTGAGTTTTGATTAGATAACCCATAAATTAA